TTGCTCCTGCGTGAATATTCGTGCCGCTTTAAGCTGATGGCTCATTCGTTCCGCTCAATTTGGCAGAATCCGTAATGCCGATTGATGGGCCTTGTTTGCCCACCAGCGACAGGAGATGTTGTTGTGCATTTTCCAAAATCATTTTCTAGCAATCAATTAATTTAAAGATCCTCTCCGGTAAAGTGTATTGCTCTCTATTCTGAAAGATTGCTAAATTTCGAGTATATCTTGTGAAAAAACTATTTGAAAATTCCAAACCGTTGCGTCTCAATCAAAAGAAAACCTAAATACGAGTGATTCGCGCGAAAAACATGTGAGAATTGAGTAGCCAATCAGATCCATCGGTTTGATCCAAAAACTACAGAATTTGGTCACATTGGCGCTGCGATCGCTGATTTTGCCACAAATGCCCCACGGCGCTGCAGAAAACTTGGCAAACAGTAATTATAATTTATAGAGATAAATGCTCGATTCACAAAACTGTAGTGGAAGAAAAATTGACTTATATTTCATGCAAAAATCAATTTTTCCAAAATTATTAATTGATATAAATTTCGAAAAATCTAGTACCACTTGAGTCTTAAAGCAAATTAATTCAGCTCATATATTAAAAAAAATTATATTCTTCTTATGAGTTGAAGTACGAAATTACCAGCAGTGAAAAGAACGCAATTAGTCTAAAGGCGATGATTGTTTTCAAAATGGCCCTCGCGGTCTGTAATTGACGCACTCCACTTTTTGTGAGGAAAAGTTTTGGCCGAGAAGACTATTAGCTCTGATTACGCAATCGCGGCAGAACCCGCTGGAATTCATCACAGGCTTCTCAAAAACTCCTAAACTCGTACCTGCGCCATTTTACTGCTGTTGGCTAATGGCGCGCTCGAAACGTGATCTGCCGTCGAGCAAGTCTCTTCTCTTTTTTGCTGCATCTCATTTCAGCACTGCTCTGAGCCGCGCACACTAAATCCGGCTGCTCTGAATTTCAAAGTAACGTCGTCAGCCACCGCATTTTCCATTTTTTCCACTCCCGAGCTCGCTCTGCACGAATAATTTCCTGCACGGGCTTTTTGAATCGCTGCCAATCTGCCGACAGATTAAAAGAGCGTAGACGGCGGCTGCTGCGGCGCTGGTTGCTCTTTGCAAGTGGGTGCAGCTCGTGTAATTCAATTAACAAATTAACAGAACCCAGATAAGCACTTAACTCTGCAAATGTTTTAGACCTGCTGATGCATTTTTTTGTTTGTTTATCTATTTATTTTAATATTTATTTATTATTTTATTTACATTCCGCTCACTGCAGTCGATGAGGACTTTTTTATCTCGGAAGTTTTAGCAAAAATTCTTGTTAGTAGTGGTGCCGTTTTGTTTTTTAACAATTAAATTGTAAAGAAACAATTTAGAAAAATAAATGATAATAATATACTTTCAAATTTATATTAAAATATTCATGAGTATTAATTTATTTTTTTATGTTTATTATTTTGTTTATTTATTTATAATTTCTTTATTTATTTGATATTTTTTCAAATATGTATTTGTCCAAAGGTTCGTATGTCAATGAACTCAAGTTCAATTTATGCCAGTATCTGTTTTGGGCTAATATCTGCTTGATTAAATCATGTGAACGGCATAGGAAATTCTGACGTGATTCTGCTTATTAGAATCACTTTTTGCGTTGATGAAAGATACTAATTGGAAAATGATTGCGGCACTTGCGAAAGTTGCTGACTATGAGTTGAAGCCTAATTGCTTGTCAAATTTGACATTACAAAGCTTTCCCTGTCATGCTGCCGTGTTCGACAAGTTCATTTGATATTTATTTTACTCAATTATTCGTTTAATCAACAATAAAATTCAATTTTGTTGATTTTACTTTTTAAATGATTGACAGAATATTTAAACGTGCATTCTACCCAAAATTATTTTAAAAGAAATAATCATCTCATCGATGTTACCTCTATTTACATAAAACCAGTGCGTCCAGAGTATGTCAATAGAACGATAATTAAAAAATTAAAGCCAAAACATACTTTTTATTGTATAAACATTAAAGGCATTCCAAATTCAATCAATGTAATTTTGGCACAAATTTTTCCTTCTCACAACTTTGACTTACTTAATTGTAAAATAATTTTTTTATCAATTAATCTAGATTAGCGGGAATTTTGCAAAATTCTTCATGATTTCAAAAAGAAATTGCACTTTAATAATAAAACTTTAAACTATTATTTGAAAATTGCATAAAATGAGGACAATTTTTCAATTTTCTCAAAAAAAGCATAATCTAAACCAAACTTTCTGCTAAATCCGAATTGCTTCCGCCCACGCAGTCTCAATTTCCGGCCAGATTTAGCTCTGGCCTGGATAAAGCCACTCTCAAAATTGCATCTCATTTTCAAGGAGAGTCGAGGGCTGCGTGTATAGCTAAATATATACCTCAGTCGCGGCATCCTCAATTATCCCTGATGTCAGCAGCGATGAGATGCTCACTAGCTCGGCAAGATTGAATAAAAAATTACATCTCTACGCAAGCGAGCGAGGGCGCAGATCCAATCGAACTTTGACCTTCCAACCTCTCGTGGCCGCCGCTCCTCGAGAGGACCCTTTCCACAACGGCTTTTTATTGTTTCCCGCTTCTTTCCGCTGTACATATATCGAGATGAAAAGCTAAAAACGAAACTCGAGTCGCTCTTGAGTGGTTCATTGTGCCGAGAGGGTTGCATACAACTGCAGCCCCCACCAGGGGAAAACGTCATCGCCCCTTGACCTGGGTCGTTTGGTCTCGTTGCCGCTGCACAATAATTGCATTACAAGCCGAAGATCGGTGAGAATTCCACTGCATGCAGTTTATCCAAGTCAACACAAACCCGCAGAGAGGACGCTTGATGGGCTCTGGCTGTTTGCCCTCTTCACAGGAAAACAAATACAAATGCCCCGACGGGCCAAGTCAGCACGATTCGCTCTGCAGACCTATTTGTTGCTGCATTTTTGACGCCTCGGGTCGAGAGCAGCTCCTCAGCGGAACTGCCGCGTTTGCATAAGTTCCGAATTCCTACTCTCGGAGACGCTCTGGTATTGATTTTGCTTGCCGAGGAATTCTTCTAGATTCGTTTTGAAAAATAAGCTGCTTATCAGCAAGAAAGAGAAAATGAGGCAAAGGGTTGATGTGAATTATTTATCTGTGGTAAAAACTCTGGACCGACGGAGACGGAAAAAAACTTTTCTCGTTAAGTATTGATGAACGAGAAGAAATAACGTTCGTTGAAAAGTATAAAAAGTAGAGTAGAGTCGAATGCGTGGGCAGTCGTGCGTGCAGTGAATTGGACCAAACGAGTTTGGTACGGAAAATTCACTTGAAACAGGGAAGACAATGGCTTATTCAATTGCAGAGCAAATTGGGTATTGTATTTGGTCGATAAATCAGGGTACGGAGTTGCGCAGGTCTAATTTATTTTACAAAAATAAATAAATTTGCTGTGCAGTCACAAAAATCACTCATTTGGTCACTGTTGATTTGTTAAATTTAAACAATCCGAGTTGATTGAAAGTAACAATTGTTAATTCATTTTCCAGCCATTTTTTTTTTTCAATTGAATGTTGGAGTACAAAATTATTACTTTGAAAAGTTATAAAATCTCTGGTGCAATATTAAGGTTCAAATTGGATTTTGTTTGAAAGCTTTATTCAATTATCATTTACTTCCTTCTGTAAATCTTGTAAAAATTAATTATGTGTTTTAAAATTTTATTTAACTACCAGTTTTTTCCTTTTCTACATTTTCTTTTATGGAAAAAAATTAAAATAATTCTGCGTGAAATTAAATATAACTGTGCAGGTTTTGGCCAAGCGATGTGTCAGTTTGAGCAAACTTCCTAAGCTTATGGAAAGTAAAAGACCATTCAAGTTCCATTAAAATTCACATTACCAACTTCGCATGGAAAGTGAAATTGTAACGAGCTGAGAGCAAAGTCTGTGCACGCCCGTTGGCTGCAGTAAAAACACGCTATAAAAAGTATGGGATTTCTAAACAGACCAACAAGGCGTTCTTGTCGGCCTAGCTTCTGGTCCGCCGCCCGAGTTTCCCATGTTCGGGTATTTGCATCAATTAGAGCGAGTTCTTTGTCTGAACAAAGAGCAGAGCATACATGTTATCCTGCATGTTACATTCATGAGTCTGCATAGCAGACCCTTTTATTTCCCTCTGACCCACTAACCGAGAGAATGGCCGCGTGATTATGCAAATCGCGTCGTCTTTTGATTCATCAGTCGCGCCATACAAATCGAGCATATTCAAATCGCCTCCGCTTTTTTTCCGTGAATAGAGAGAAAGCGGATGCAAATTGCGGCCGTAATCATTTTTACCCAGGCATTGGTTGCGTCAGGCGACCTTCGCAAACGATACCCTTTCATCAGCCACTGCTGATCAATCACTTTGCTTTTTATACCGCGGGTTTGGATTCGGTTCGTTTCATAGCCGAATGTGGAATTTCGCTCTGTTTGCTCCCGGCAATTTGATGACATTCCATTGAAAATGTATTTGGTTTAGAGTAATGAATGGATGCGAAAATAATTTGACTGCTAATGAGCTTTTATAGTGCTCAATAGCCACGGGATTAACCGGTTATGCATTTGTAAAAGTTATTCATGCTTAAAAGCTCAATAGTCAAGCGCATTTTGCATTTTAAACGAATCAAAATGGTCTTTTTTTATTTTATTGATACATTCATTGCTCAAATAAACTACTAATTATACAAATTTAAATGCTAATTTGTCTGCTTTTACAGATGAACATAAAATGTAACTTCATTGAAATGAGAGCTATTCAAAATTAATTTCCCGCTATTCCTCTGAATGCTAAATTCTACTTAATCGTGAATTGAATTTGCTTTAGTGATTTTTTTTAGGACTTTCCAATTAAATTCACAAACGCATGTTTAACTTTGATTGATCAAATCAGTCCTGTCAGTGTGACTGATCGAGTGCTTGGTTTGCTGTTTCAGATGTCGGACGACGACCGCATGTCGTTGACCACGGCCGTCAGCGACGATGACGACGTCGAAAGCGTGCACAATTCGCCGTACAGAGCAAAACAGACTGGCACCGCAGCCGCCTCGTTCAACTGCACTGGCGCCGTCAGGAAGGCCGGGTGAGTACTCGCTGTGTGTGTGTGTTTTGGGCAAAAGCGATCGTCTTTCATCCGACGACAACTTTCCTCACTGCCAAAGTGGCTGCGGCTCTATGAGATATGTGACGCCGCTCTAAGTGGACACAAGGACAGCTCGTTTTATTTGCGCAGTCTGTCCTTCCGCGCAATGGCTCGGCGAAATAGATGGGCGTCTCAATGGACCTTAAAAAAGTCGGAGAACGTCTGTTTTTATCATTTCTGGAATGAATAAATTTTGCATTTGGGTTTATTTAATGTTAATTTGTTAAAATAATGGCCATTTGCATGATTTTTGGAGTATTTTCTTGGGCTGGATAAATCTATGCATTAATTTATTTTCCATTTATAATCAATTATAGATCCTCTCCGGTCAAGTGTATTGCTCTCTATTCTGAAAGATTGCTAAATTTCGAGTATATCTTGTGAAAACACTATTTGAAAATTCCAAACCGTTGCATCTCAATCAAAAGAAAACCTAAATAAGAGTGATTCGCGCGAAAAACGTGTGAGAATTGAGAAGCCAATCAGATGCATCAGTTTGTTCCAAAAACTACAGAATTTGGTCACATTGGCGCTGCGATCGCTGATTTTGCCAAGTTTTCTGCAGCGCCGTGGGGCATTTGTGGCGAAATCAGCGATCGCAGCGCCAATGTGACCAAATTCTGTAGTTTTTGGAACAAACTGATGCATCTGATTGGCTAGTTGGCTACTCAATTCTCACACGTTTTTCGCGCGAATCACTCGTATTTAGGTTTTCTTTTTTGATTGAGACGCAACGGTTTGGAATTTTCAAATAGTTTTTTCACAAGATATACTCGAAATTTAGCAATCTTTCAGAATAGAGAGCAATACACTTGACTGGAGAGGATCTTTAAGTTTCTGCGATCTTTTCCAAATTTAGCAAATCCACGAAGGCTAAATTTGTGCCTCAATTACTTGCCCCTAATTCCTTCTTTGTGATTGTTTCGCAAGAGAGACGGATTAAAAGTGAACAATGCGAGGATCACGACGGTCGGGCGAGAGGAAAAAATCACGCTGCGTTGAGCTGCTGAGGGGGTCAATAAATATATCCAGCTCGGCAGACTAACACACCCCAACCCCTTGGTGGCTAATCCGTCTCGTAAAATAAGCTTCGCGTGTGTGGGTGTCGTAGAGATAAAGAATTATTTTCTAAGAGGAGAGATTAAAGGATGGAAAATAGCTCAGCCTTGGTGGACATGACAACCGCGCTGGTCCGCACTCGCCGTTGTGGGCGTTTCATAATTAGCAAGGATTGAAAGAAAGGCGTTCTGATGAGAGCCTTTTGTGCACTACTTGCCTGTCAATTATTGAGCTGCGAATCGCGTCTGACGTGCAACTAAGTGAATTAGCGCGGCGCCTAAAAGCCCGGAGCGAACGCCCGGCTCGATTAAAACTGCCATTTTTGCCACCCGCTGGATCGAAAAATAACAAAATCCGTCGCAGCCACTTTCTCTCGACAGTTGAAATAATAGCAGAGGGAAATTTTATTGGAACGCCCCGGCGCCACCCTCGATATCGACAGAATTTTCTTTCTCGCCACCTTCTTTGCTTCCAGCGACGGGGTCAAGTGGCAACTTTTTAATTAGTTTTCGCAGCAAGCAATTAAAATCATCACGCTGGCAGATGCCACCGCCGTCGGGTAATGAGCCCTCTGCTCGCAATTTGCGGATGCTTTGAAATATTGCACAACGTCAAAGTCAAGGTTCTTGCTAACTTCTTCAGCTTGTTCGGGAAATAACGATTGCTGAATTCTTGTAGCTCTTTGCTTTGAGGTTATTATTAAAGAAAAATTATTTAAAATACTAAAACGATCAAAGGAAAAGTTTAGATCCTAAAATATTTAATTTTTTTTTGCTTTCTTGCAATTTTCAGCCAGTTTTTCACATCATAAGCGTCTCTTTTGGTGGTGAATTGTAAATTATTTTAACAATCCATTTATTTAATAATTGGAAACTGCTTTAAATACTTTGATTAAAACGTAGGAAATTAATACAATAATTGAAAACATTTATAACAAAGTTTCCTTCAATTTAAAATATTTTTTTTACAATTCAAACTATCTTTGTGTAAATTTTCACATAGATATTGTGTACAATAAATTCCTTCAATTCCATGAATTTTTTCATAAATTATTTTTAATATAAGTTTCCTGTTGAAAATTGCATCTATAAAAAAATATAAGTAGAGTTTGCAAGTTGGAAACAAACAAAAAAGTAATTTCATTCACCTGGCATTTTTCTTTCAGTGTTCATAAAAGTTTTCCTTCGTTTCCTTCCTTGCTCGGAGCGACTTGTAGCCGAAAATAAACGGTGGACTTTCTTCCTTCGTAATCTCGCAAGATCAAATGTCAGCAAAAGGTCTTTGTTTCGCTCACGGGCTTTTCGGGGGCAGGAAACTTTGAAGAGGGAATCGGCGATGCGAGAACCTAATTCGTTCTCAGAGATTTGTACAAACAGAATTAATTAACGCTTTCGCGCCCCCGTTTCACATATAATAATTGGCCCATCGAATTGCGTCACACTTAAAATTAAGAAGAGACGCCATTTTCGTTTGCAAACGTGGGAAGCGGAGCGCGAAAGCGTTATTCCGCTTTGATTGGGCCCCAAGAGTAATTCGGTTAGCATTTATTTAATTGTACGGCTGCGGGGCTCCTAGTTAGGCAACGTTTGCGCAGCCATCTCTCTCTCTCACCCCCTCGCGAAATATAAAGAACAACCCGGGCCGACGTGACGCAAGTTGAATTTGTATGTATTTAATTCTGGCAGTGCGAAAAGGCCCTTTAACCGCATCACGGCAGTCGCCGGCTAATTTATTCATGAAGTTTGGAGTGAGGAGCAAGCAAGCTGAAAGAGACGTCGGCGAATTTCACCCCGTGCTAATAAAACAGCTGCGTGAGAATTGCAGCGCTCGCTCGCGAATTCGCTTAAATATGCGCACAACAAAGACCCTTTTAAATTTGGATGCCATCCACGGATTGATCGTGAGGCTGTCCACAATATGACATGGCTTCGTTTTTTGCAAAATGAAAATGTAGTTTTCTCCAAAAATTCACATTTTTATATTTTGATTTCAACAGAATCAGATTTGATTAAATATTGTATTTATTTGAAACTTTTAAATGTTCAGAATTGATCATAAAATAGCTGAATTTACTATGAAAGATGTTAATTATTATTTAAGAAAATATTTTTTTGAAGAAGTTGATATTCAAGGGGACGATCATAAAAATGAAGAAATCGGGCCTTTCCTCGTTGTAAAAATTGTTTTTATTCAAAAACATGTATTAGTCAGCGCGCAGCGCGGTTGCTCAAGAAATATAAGAAATATGGTTGCAGACCGAGTCCAAAACTGGTAGAGCCATTTTGAATAAAAACAATTTTACAATAAAGAAAAGCCCAATTTCTTTACATCTATAAAAATATTTGTTGCATAATTATTTCTTCTATAATATATAAAAGAATATTTTATTATTTATTTTTTTTCATTCTACTCAAGTCCTGCTCAAGTCATACATAAAAAAAAATATTCTTAAATAAAATTTATTTTATTATTATTAAACGTTTTTAATTTTTTTATTTATTATATTTGTTTTTGTAAATTTAATAAGTTTATTAACTTTAGACAATTTTTTAATAAATTTATTTCTTATAGAACATTGTCAATCAGTTTGTATATGTCATAAATAATGAATTAGTATACCAGAATTTAATCATTTAATGTGCCTTAATTTGCCGAATTACTTCATAATTGTATAATTTGCAGTGTTCGTTCAATCTTTCGAAAACCAACGCCTACTTTTAATGGATTCCTTATTTCAAGTTCAGTTAACGTTCAGACGCAAACAGCACCTCTTCATCCATCACCGAGCAGAAATTTAATCATTCGTCAGCGAGATGGCGAAAATTATTGCTTCTCTTGTTTCCGAGCGAGTTTGACAGGCATATTTGAATATTGTCAGTGCGCGCAGCCGAGAAGCAGCGAATTCATTTTCTTGATGAACAACCGCGCCATAAATTACACAAAGCAGAAAGTAGCAATGAATGTATCGATCTGAGCGGCGCGAGTTTTCATCACGGGTGCGAAAGGGATTTTTTTTTTGCTCGGCGCAGGCGGTGAAAAAATAAATGGCGTCGCCGAGGCAGTTGGCACTCGAATAAGGCGATGCACACGTCCCACCTTCCTTTTTAGCCTGATAAAATATTAAGCCGCCGCTGGAAATAATTTATTGCGAATGCCGTTCGAATGCACGACGGCCCATTGAAGAAGCGCCTCTTTTGAGGCGCGCGCGCTCCACTTCTTCTTGTCCTGCGCCCCGTGTGTGTCGTCGGTTTTTTATGTGTAATGCGGGGAAATATTGACATATGAAAAAACTCATCTCGCTACACAAAAAACATGCAACCATCCTTTTTTCAATATCACACAGCAGCTTCAAAAGATTGTCGCAAACAGCCTCTGCCATAGAGAAATAATATGTACACGTGTGTGGGAATGATGATGAGAGAGAGAGAGGCGGCCTGAGCAAACATACACACCAAGTCCCCTGGCCCGGCCTGTTTTTTTTTTTTTTTTTTTTTGCATCTCGTCGCCCAGATTAAGTAAGATGATTCTGCAGCCGACGTGCTCCGGTCCATATTTATCACTCTTTCTCTCCCTTTCCGCGCTTCATTTTCATTTTACCATCTTGTTTTGGCAACTCCCTGCGGCCACCATGTATCGCAGTCTCCAAATTCCCAAACGGTAATGCCAAATTGGATTTTACGCCGGTCCCACATTGCAAATTGGTTCGGAGGCGGTGGAGAAATTAATTCGACCCGTCGTGTGGTGCAAAATTAAATGTGTTCAAAAATCCGATTAGTCGCAACCGTCAGTGGATTTTGTTAATTTTTAAATTTTTGCCTGCGATTGGGAAATTGGTTCACTGGTGATTGTTTATAAATCATGCCTACAGAATTTTAATTATT